CTATATCCCGCTCATGACTTATCCTTGTTTAACGAGTATAACAACCTCGTTCCTAGGGTTCTCTCTTACCCGTCCCTACGGAGAACACTGGAAACGAGGTTGTGAGTATAATGTAGGGTAATTCTATACACTGGTGTTTATTAGTTAGTGTGGCCTAGGTATCCAAGTATGAGCCTTCAGAATAAAGAGGAAATAGTCATTTAAAAATTAGGAAGGAAATTAACGAGGATGATTAATTCACAAATGCCTGTCACACAGGCTGTAATGTATTAGGCCGCTAAGTATGCTGGGATAGAAAAACCATGTGCTTTTGATAGCGGCGGCCGTGTTACGTTTGCAATGAAATTGGTTGAGTTAAATCTGTTTGTTTGGATACTTTATTGCTCTTGGGATCACTACATTAGCGACAAGGACAAAAAAATGGAAAAGAACGTGTTACCGAAGTTTGATTGTTTCTCTGATCCAGCGACGATTGGCCCCCGATGGAAGAGGTGGTTAACTTCATTCGAACTGTACGCCGACTGGAAAGGGCTTCTTATAAGCGAAGGAACCACAGCAGCAACTAACAGAGGCGAAGAGCAATGTTACTCCACCTGGCTGGGCCTGATGTACAGGAGATATTTACCACCTTAACTGAAACCGGGGATGCAACAAATTACGCCAGTGCTGTTGAAGCTCTCAACGCCTATTTCGTGCCACAGGTAAATTCAGCATTCGCCCGCCAGACCTTTCATGGGATCACGCAAAACCCACGTGAGACATTTCAACAGTTTGTCACTCGCTTAAGGAAAGCAGCTAAAGATTGTGATTTTGGCACTGACACCGACAACCAGATAAGAGATGCAGTTTTGAATAACTGCACTTCCACTTACATCAAACGGAAATTGCTTGAAGAAGGCCAAGGACTGAACTTAACACGCACCCTTGAGGTTGCCGCAAAATGCGAAAAGATAGAAACCCAACTGACTGCCCTTTCAGTAAAGGGGGAAGAATCAGAAAGCATCAATAGAATCAATGAGAGAAGTAACAATCCGTGTACTAGCACATAAGAGCGATTCTAAGGGAGAGATAAGATATGTTATAGATGTGGTTTATTGGGACATTTCGTACAAGTAGGAGGAGTTGACCTCAAGATGTTAATAGCCTCTGGGGCAAACAGCAACATTATTGACGAGGGGAAGAGGGAACAGCTAAAGGTGAAGGGAGTGAAATGTGAATCACAAGCTGCTACCCCAGACAAGAAGCTGTACCCATATGCGTCTAGTCAGCCACTGCCAGTTAAGGGTAGTTTTAAGTGTACAGTGAGTGTTTGTGATAGATCCACCAAAGCTGAGGTCTTGGTAGTTAAAGGTAGAGGGACGTCACTGCTTGGAAAGATAACAGCCACAGAACTGGGAGTGTTGAAAATTGGGATTAACACTGCTATGGAAACAAGTAAAGCTGACAGTTTAAAACAGCAGTACCTTGAGGTATTTGAGGGTGTCGGAAAATTAAAAAACAAACAGACATCCCTGGATATAGACCCTACTGTAAAACCTATTGCACAGCCTTATAGAAGGACACCATTTAATCTGAGAGGAAAGATCCGAGATAAGACCACAGAACTGTTGGACATGGGAATAATTGAATCAGTGGAGGGTCGAGCCCTCTGGGTCAACCCTGTGGTGATCGTGCCAAAGAACAACGGGTAAATCCGCCTGTGTGTGGACAAACCAAGCAATCATGCGAAGACGATATCCAATTCCCACAGTTGACGAGGTGTTACATACCATGAATGGTTCTAAGGTCTTCAGTAAATTAGACCTTAAATTGGGGTACCACCAGTTGGAGTTGAGTCCAGAATCCAGGGAAATCACAACCTTTGCTACACCTGATGGTTTGTTTCGATATAAGCGCTTGCTCTTTGGTGTCTGCTCTGCCAGTTAACAATATCAGCGTGAAATTGTTTCAGCCCTGGCAAGTATTGAAGGTGTCGCAAACATTTCGGATGACACTGTGGTGCGTGGTCCCGACACAGAAACACACAACAGGCGACTCCACCAAACTATAGAGCATCTGCAAGAGTGCGGTCTCACTTTAAATGCTTAGAAATGTTTGTTCAATACAGACAGGCTGGTGTTCATGGGTGTGCTGCTTTCAGAGAAAGGCATTGGTCCTACAGCAGACCGTGTTAAAGTAGTATTAGAGGTGGAAGAACCAAAGAAAGCGTCAGATGTACGTAGCTTTCTGGGTTTAGCCAACTACAGTAGCCGTTCATACCTCACTTTGCCACTTTATCCGAACCACTGCGAAGGCTGACAAGGAAAGAGACACCCCTTGAATCTGGACCAGAGCAGAAGAAGTCCTTTAAATTTCTCAAACAGAAGATGGCAGAAGCTTGCACTTTGGCATATTTCGATAAGAATGTACCCACCAAGATAATCACGGACGCCAGTCCAGTTGGGTTGGGCGCTGTTCTCGTACAGGAGCAGGACGGTGCCTGGACACCGGTATGTTATGCGAGTCGTAGTTTGACCGGATGCGAGCAGAGATATTCCCAGACAGAGAAGGAAGAACTGGGTGTGGTGTGGGCGTGTGAGAGATTCCATGTCTATGTGTATGGGATGAAGTTTGTTGTAGAGACCGACCACAAGCCTTTAGAGGTCATATATGGTCCGCGGTCAAGACCATGTGCACGGATAGAGCGATGGGTTCTCAGATTACAGCCATATGATTTCAGTGTGATACACAGGCCTGGGCGCGAGAACATTGCTGATCCATTGTCGCGACTACTTCATAGGAAGGTTGAATCTGACGACCACCAACGGTGTACTGAAGAGTATGGTAGGTTTGTTGCTGTAAGTGCAACACCAACGGCACTCACAACCCGCGAGACAGAATCGGTCACTGTTGAAGCGACTACAAATTGCTCAGGCAGAGAACAAACCATGGAGAGCAGAATTAAGGAAGTATCTCACTGCCTATAGAAGCATTCCCCATAATACGACTTGGAAGGAGTCCCACTGAGCTACTGTTTAACCGAAAGGTCAAGGGGAAGATCCCTGATTTAAGCATCGACCATGCTTATGACCAAGAAGTACATGATCGCGATGCTGAACAGAAAGCTAAGAGTAAAGCTTATGAAGACATACACCGCAGGGCATTGAACTGGGTGATGAAGTTCTTGTCCAACAAGACAAGACTAACAAACTCAGCACTGCATTCAACCTAAACCCCTTAAAGGTCGTCAGCAAGACCGGAAACAGCCTCGTAGTAGAGAGTCCAATAGGGAACCAGTGCTCCAGAAACACAAGTCATGTGAAGCACTAGCCTCCCACGCAGACGTTCTTAGGGGTTCGTCACGCGTTCCTGCCCCACGAACGTCTGCTGAACCGAAAGATAAATTCCTTTACCATTGTTCGCAAATATCAGCTGGAGATCACATGCAGATTATGGGAGATCCAATCGGCCCTGTTAATGTCACAGTGTTGACAAACCAAACACTTACGTACGAGCTCTGTAGAGTGTGATACGTGACCAATGATTTTTGCTGCGGGCCAGAATCTAGGAGATAAGCGTTGGCTTTTTGTATATTTCTCTCTGTAAAGGCGGAACGTGGATTAGATGTCGTTTGCTCATAAAGTTGTTCTTTGGGTGATGCAATAGGGCAGAATTTTTTTTCACACGTATTGTTTTGTAGTAAAGCCGATTTCCGTTCAGGGAATTTTTAAAACCTCCAAGGTCACCTTTTTCTAATGAGATTGTGAGGGTAGCCGCTAGTACGAACGCTCGTGAGTTAACTGAGTAGTTTGTTCTAAAACTGTAAGGTCCTCACCTTTTATCAGACCTTCCTGATCTTTTCTGGAGCTATAAAGTCAAGCGCGAAATTTCTCAAGGTCCAAAGTACACTTCCCAGATCTGGAAGTCTGCTGTGACTGGTCTACGTTTTTTCCGCTCAAGTCAGCAGACGTTCGTGGGGCAGGAAAGCATGACGAACCCCTAAGAACGTCTGCGTGGGAGGCTAGTGAAGCACTACATTAGAGATGGAGATCCCACACCCCAACAAGGATCAGACTCTGTGTCAACACCCCCTCCCCCAACACCCCAACAGGAATTAGACCCTGTACCATCACCTTACCAAACAACCGTACCAGAATCGACTGCAGGGTTCCTGGATAGAGGGGAGTGCCCTGATCTGCAGGAGAATGTTGGAGCGGCACCAGAGCCATTAAGGAATTTGAGACCCCAGAGGACAAGGAGATTGCCAGAGAGATTAAAAGACTATGTTGTTAATTTTCTTTGGGGAACATGAACACTGTTTCTCTCTTCAGAACTATGTACAGTTTGAACATTTAAGTTTCCGTTTGCTTATTTTAGAAGAAGAGACTTTATCGTTAGTATAGTTGACTTTATTGTTAGTGGAGATTTCTCTTTTTATGTAAAGGAGCATTTTTCTGAGGAAAGGAGAGATGTAATGTATTGGGCCGCTAAGTATCCTGGGATAGCAAAAACTATGTGCTTTTGATAGCGGCGGCCATGTTACGTTTGCAATGAAACTGGTTGAGTTAAATCTGTTTGTTTGGATACTTTATTCGTTGCTCTTGGGATCACTACACAGGCTAGGTTATGAGTATAATGTAGGGTAATTCTATACACTGGTGTTTATTAGTTAGTGTGGCTTAGGTATCCAAGTATGAGCCTTCAGAATAAAGAGGAAATAGTCATTTAAAAATTAGGAAGGAAATTAACAAGGATGATTAATTCACAAATGCCTGTCACACAGGCTGTAATGTATTAGGCCGCTAAGTATGCTGGGATAGAAAAACCATGTGCTTTTGATAGCGGCGGCCGTGTTACGTTTGCAATGAAATTGGTTGAGTTAAATCTGTTTGTTTGGATACTTTATGGCTCTTGGGATCACTACAAAGGCTACGCGACACGTATAAAATTTGAATTAAGGTTCTTAACCAAGAGTCATGAGTTACTCGATAAAACTAATTCAGTTGTAGTTTAGAATTATATCAATTTATCTTACTTGTCCAATTGTTCTCAGTGAAGCCTCCAAAAATGTTTCGGCCACCACTTTTTACAACAGTCATTGTAGGTCCTTTGTTGTCGCATTTGGAATGAAACGCTGAAGCAGTAAAGCCATCTCGTGAAGCTCGAAATAGCAAACGCCATTCCCCTGTTATAGCCTCAGGTAACCAACTTTTCAAGATTCTTCGATGCTCTTCGTTCGTCAGTATCACCGACTCCTCGAACGGTTCTTTAGGATTCAGTTCATTCAATATCCCTTGTAGCTGATAAAACTTAGCTTCTGCTTCGAGTTCCTTGAGGAATGTAGCACCATCTGGTAAAATCAGCTCGCCATTACGAAGATAATTTAGTATAAACCGGAAGTAAGTTCCATCACGATCGATAAAGAAAGAACCGTCTTCAGAAGGCTTCATCTCAAACTTTCCAGAAAACATGGCGGCTAACATTGAGTTGGGATCTTTTTTCAGCGTCTGCACACTTGTGGTAAAGTGTTGACCACCAACGTTCAGTTTAACAGTGGATGAAAAGTGAAACTGGTCTAGTTTCTTCGACATTGCATCGATGGACTCTTGCTCATGACAAACTCTGCTCGCTTCTCGCTGTATTATTTCGCAACCTTTCTTGATGTAGTTTTCAGCGTCTATGAGTGCTCGATATCCTTGTTGATAATCAGGATTTTCATGGCTCATGATCTTCGTAATTGAAACGAACCTTAACTGCTTTCTCTGTACAAAGTATGAAAAGTAATAGTACAGTGCAGTGAACCATCAGGGGGCAAACTCAGAACCGAGGCAAGCGTCTGAATGGAGACTGGACTGAGGTTTGTTAATAATTAACAAAGGCAATATCATATATTTCTTCATTCTGCCTGAGAATCGGCTGCAGACATTGCAAAGCAGCGGGATAATGTATAGTAATATAAAATATGTTAATCTTACCTCTGTGATATCGCATTTGCTCGTTGAATTTCCACAATTGCAGTACATTAATTTAAGCGATATTGTTCAGTTTATGAAAGCATCATTGTGATTTATAGCGGTGTACATTTCAAACTCTTTCTGACTTACTCTTTGAATGCTAAGGTGTCCCCTGAACATGCTGAATGGAGGATAAATGTTGGTTACCCAGAAATAAGTGCCCCTTTTCTCTGAATAGAGGTGTCCCTTGATGGGGGTAACAGAAACAAAGATTATGTGAACATTTTTCTAGGACCAAATTTTGTGTCGTCTGGATGGAGGTGTCCCTTAACTCAAACGTTAAATCAAAACCAGCTACAGTGGAACCTCGATATAACGAACCTCTATATAACGAAGTCCTCGGTATAACGAACGATTTTCTTCACCCCGGCCGAAATTACGGTAAAATAAATGGAACAGAACCTCGATTTAACTAAATCCTCGTTATCCCGTTATATATCTTGTTATAATGGGGTAACACCTTGCTGTCACTTGATTTTTACGCACCGGATAGCCAGTTGTTAATAATGTTTATCTCAATTTTTATTACTTCCTATAGGCCAAAATATTGGCCTTTTCGCGTGTACGCCGAATAAAATTTAGAATTATGAGTAGTAGAAGAAGGGGGAGGGAAGAAGATAGTAAATGTGTTTATTTTTTGGCCAAAGTAGTTTACAGACATTCTCTGGCCCTGGGAACGAGGTTGTAAGGGAGTCATCATGGCTTCAGTATTAGTGTTCAAATCTGGTAACTGACCAGCTCTTTAATTTTCCCAACTTCGCTCGCGTTTGGAATGAGCTGAAGACTTTTTATTCCTACAGACTATTGAGATTGAAAAGCCGGCGAAATGACGCAGAAAATATGGTAATTAGAAATTAGAAATGGCATTTAAAACCCGCGTACTAAATGTGTACCGCGGTCACACGCAAAGGAAAGGTTTCAAAACACTAGTTAACTTTCGTTATCTCCTTTCTTCCTATCACCTGGAGAAAATGGCTCAATTTCGTTTCCTGGCTGGGAAAATGAATTGTTGGTAACAATCCTAGCTTGAAAAAGGCCCCTAAGGTAAAGATCCTGGCTGGAAATTGCATTTTAACATCTACTCCTAGCTGGCTTTGGGGCGCGGATATAATTTTCCCACAGAAGTTAATAATCAACTAAAAACAATACTGTCAAAATATTACTGGAGGCGATATCCAATCACTTTTGAAATTTTTCTCGTTGGGTACATTATAACGAACACAATCCACAAGCGCAAAACGTAAAATATACCTCGACATAACGGATAAATGTCAGCATGTGATAAAAGATGAATGCCAAACAAAGCAACAAGGATAAAATTTATGTTTCGATTGTTTTAACCAGTTTTGTTAGCCTGTTCTTGAATTTTTAGTGCCGTAGCTATGTATAGCTCGGTACTGAAATGTCTGAAATGTTAGTATGTGTAATCAAATGGTGACGAGTGAAATTATTCCCTAATTTCACGAGTATACCATTTGATTACCTATTAACGACGAATTACGTCTTGACATGTTTATTAGAATTCCTGCACTCTCTCGAACGTTTAGAGCTTAAATTTGGCTTAAGTTCAGAGTTTTTCGAGAAAATACTTGTTAGAATCCTTCTTGATGTTCTCTTTCGTGTATTCAGGTTTTCTAAAGCGTCTTTTTGTGCCCTGACATCTTCATTCATGACATTTTAAAACTTCTTCGCCATCTTGACACTGACACGTACGGAAGGTTGCCATGGCAATTTTGTAATTTCACGTTTGACGCTGAAATTTCGCACCATTATACAACTACATGAGAAATTTCTGCGATTTGATTGCCTTAGAGTCGTGGTATTTCAGCTTAATTTGAAATACCTACATGTGAAAATTACAAACCTTTTGTGGGTAGTGGTATAAACAAATAATAGCATGATTTGTACGTGATATTTGGCATAAATACCACTCGTGATATTTCAAAATTGTCTCAAATTTCACTCGCCTGACGGCTCATGAAATTACGTATAACAATTTTGAAATATCACTTGTGGTATTTATGCCAAATATCACTACAAATCATGCTATTACCTATACAAATTAAGGAGTAATTCGTCACCTATGATATTATCACAGTAATTGTTCAGGTCCGGAAATGCTGCTGTAAATTAATTAACTTAACAATTTAACGATCATTTTGGTAGTTTTCCCGAAAATTCGTTAAATGGAGGTGTTCGATATAACGAACCCTCGATATAGCGAACAAATTTCCCCGGTCCCTTGGCACTTCATCAATCGAGGTACCACTGTAGCAGTCTGTCATGTTTGTCACGAGGGACAGGGTGGGTAGCTTCCGCCTCTCTCCAGTTCAGGGGCACCCAACGGCAATTTTCGGGAAAATATCTCTTCGGAAGACGATTTGAGAACTAGAATTTTCGGAACATTTGTTGTAAAATTTCTTGCTTGCCTGCCTCTCCTTGGATTTTCGAACATCTACAAAATGGTATAATTACCCATATTTACCCTAAAAAAGGCCATCTAGAATTTTCGGGAGCCTTTTCCTGGCTGAAATTTTCGAAAAGGTAAGTTTTGATCCCTGTAATTTTCGGATCACTAGACTTTCAGCTAGGAAATCCGAACAGATGAAAAGTTTTTAGGGGATAAAAATATGCCTATATCTACCGTTTAAATACTAAAATACGTTCAACAATGCTATGGTAAGTGGTTTTGAACTATATCCTCGTTGGGTACCCCTGCCAGTTCTTTTCTTCGTCCTACTTTCAATAGCTTCCAGTGGCCTTTGAAAGACAGTCCAGTCATGCAGTCACTCCTAAGTCCTCCAAGAAATTAATACTTACCCGTTCAAAACAAATAGAACTAGAGATATAGACAATACTGAACGCGGTTTAGAGGTCAGAAATTGTATCAGAACTTTAATCTTTTGAAGTTTCCGTGTTTTCATTTCTGTCAAGGAGAGCTTTCTTGTTATTTCCCGCTGTGAGATTCTCTGACACCTCTTTGCGCCACTGTCCTTTTAGGGGTCCTTTCTCACCGATAATAACCAGATCTGGGGCCGGGGTGAAACTATAGGCACCCCATTCTCAACAACAACAAGCTTTATTTTAATGACCATACAAGTTCATATATACAGTACTGTGAAAGCTATTTCAAAGTAAAGAGTAGGAGAGTTCAATTTTAATTTAATTACAATTAAGTTACTTTGTTACTAATTTGTCGCAAAAATTAAAGCACACTGAAATATATCTAATGAATTGTACATCAATACAGTAATAAGAAAAGAGGTGTTCATCAGTTCATTGATCAAATCGTTTAGGGGTAACTAGGTAATATTTGGAATAAGAGTCTACAATTTATTGTAAATATTATTCCTCATTAGTGAACATCACCTTATACTTAATTAATTGGACCTACAAAGCGGGCTTTGTCTATCGTCTCTAGTATCAACATGATTGTATCCGCCTAGTTCCTAGTTCGCAATTCTCTTAGCTGTTCCTCTTAATAAGTCTAGGTAATTAGAAGTGCTATAAGGCACACATTCACCTCGAATTCCCAAGAATACTCACCCCCACCCACCCCCCCTCAGGAACGATGCGGCCGGGCTGGAATTTCGCCTTTGGAACGGCTTTGATTCAGACGCGGCACTTAGCACAGGCGCGGATCCACCCCGGTTTTCACGGTTTTACGGAAATCGGTCAGATATTTCATAAAAAAAATATTTTTTCCGGAAAATGGTTTGGTATTAAAAAGAGGGAGATTAAAGGTCCGTAATCTTTGTTATTATTATAAGGCGGCTAAACATTCCGAAGTAGGCTCCTCTTACCTTGACCGGTTATACGACAGGTTTAGACTCAGAAACCTAGGTATGGGGTCTTTGGGGAGTTAAATCCAATAGTATTTCCTGGGAAAGCATGCCCTGGGACTCCGCCTTGTTTAGGAAATCGGTCCGTATTTATCCTAGATCCGCGCCTGTAGCACTCGCCTAAGTTTCTGTTTTACGTCGGGTAACTTACGAGCTTACATAACTTTGTTTTAGTACTTTACTACTTTCACTCACTTTATTTTCTAAGTTAACCATCGGTGAGAGTAAAGAAAGTGTTAAGTCATTTCGACCACTTTAAAAAAAAAAGAGTTTGCATGCAATCTTACTAGGCTGCAAGTCACAAAATTTTTGCGCAACATCTCCTTACGCTTTCGACATCTCAGAACAAAATCGTTCAAAGTCTTATTATGACCAAGCCCGGAGTTAATATTCCAATTATTTTTGATGGATTTGATCCCTGGACTTCAGACTTCCAAATTTCGATGAGGTAAAAATACTGAAGATTAAGATTAACTTTTGAAAGTTAAAAGTGCGATTAAGTGCCGTGTGCTAGCAAAGCTTTCTTTCCCACATGCCTCTTACCTTGTGCAAGACGTTCGCACGACAGACATTCGCCTCGCTTCGCTTGTTTACTTGCCTTGTTTACCTTAACACGTACTGAGTGCCTATTGCAACTTTGCGTAAAAAAAAAAAGCCATTTCAATTACCCTATTTGGGCCAAGCCCAAATAACAATAATCGAACACCTAAAGAGACATTAAGGTGATGTTACACGAGACGATTCGTAAGGACGATTTTTAGCGTAACACAGCGTTGCAACATTGTTTTGAATGATTACAACATTGTTCCAGCATTACAACGCTGTGTTGCGCTACAAATCGTCGTTGCAAATCGTCTCGTGTAACATCACCTGTAGATCGAATACCCTCTTGTTTTTCTCTGTGACAGCAGCTGAGTTTGCTGGACAACGACTAATACTGACGCTATTTAGAGTGGGTGATACAATACTTTACAGTTCCAAGAACTGATGAACCTGTAATGCTCTAGGTCTCCCAACTAACTGAAGACACTTCAGATCGAATTGGACTTTGGAAATGATGGGTTTTGAGGCGAGGGGAAATCTGGAGTACCCGGAGAAAAAGTCTTGGAGCGAGAGAAACCCTACAAAAAACTCAAACTACACGTACAACACAGGGTCGATGTCAGGACTCAGGCACCCAGGCCACAGTGGTGGGAGTCAAGGGATCAGTGGAGATCGCCTCTTGCATGGGAGGATCGGGATTCGCTTTCTCTGAGATGATGCCGGACTACTCGCTGGAAATCTGACAATTGAGTAAAGGAAACCGTTTTCGTTTGATTACAGTGTAAACTTGAATTTAGGGGCGTTTTAGGTTGTTCTTTTTGTTTTTAAAGGGATTTAAATAAAATAAAGTCGTTAGATTGTTGTAGGGGATTGCTGCACAGTTTAACTATTAATGTTATCAAACATTTTTTTCGTCCAATCTCGGAGTTTTAACTCTAAGCTGTTCGAAAAAATGCCGGGTTTATTGATATATGTCGTCACTGTTCTCATCCTCCCCCATACTATGCCAGTGTTAAATGCAATGCAACTTCAGAGAGATGATTTAGCACCATGAGGAGGGTGAAAACATATGTGCAATCTATGATGATGACAAGCAACCATCATCTCTAGCTTTAATGCACTACGCATACAAGCTCATACAGAGAGATAAAATTGACGCCCAGAGAGAGAGAGAGAGAGCAGAACAGGTTTTGTACGAAGAAGCCAAAACTGACTTTATTCATTTTCTGAGGACACTCCTTTCAGAAGCTGATTGTGACATTACCCTTTTGCTACTATATACGTAGGACTTTTACATTAAAAAGAAAAAATGAGACTGTCTACACCAACCAAGAAAAAATTATGACATTTTCCTCAAAATTTGAATTAGCGTTGCTACTAATTTCCATGCATGATCTATTTTACTTGCCTTTATTCCTAAAGAGAATAAAAAGCAAACACACTTATACACAGTTCATTTTACTGATTCGCCGTTTGCAGTTGCCGTTCCAATACAAGCCGAGACTGGCTATCCTGGCCAAAAACAAGATTCTCTCTACACAGCTACCTACTGAAGCATGTCATCACATGTAAGGTTTCAATTGACGACTTATTCGTTAGCACTAGAAGGGAGCTTAAGCGGGGGCGTTTTTGAGGGACGGAAGTCAACCTGAAGTGGACATTTTGCATCATTGGGCAGTAGTGTGGTTGAAACTCTCGGGTAAATCGTCTTTATAAGAGAAAAGAAACTTCGCAATACAAATTTGTTAGCGTCATGGCATATCGAAAGGTACAAGGCCTCACTTCCGGTTGAGGTGCTTCGCTCTTAATATTTCAACAGTTTGGCTGTATTACCCTTTCTTACCTGTACGCTTATTTATCACCTATGAAGTCCAAACACTTCGACATCTGTGATGGTGAAATCACTGCTGCCTGTAAAAAACTCCTTCTGTTGTCCTGGAGGGCACTGATAGGCTCTGCCAAGAGTACTGCCACCCTGTCGTCCATTTTGTCTTAATACCCATAGGTCGTGCCCTTGACCAAACACTGGTCCACAGTCATAATAACTAGTGATCGCAAACTGTTCCATCCCATTAAGTAGCGACATTTTGGTCGGTCCCAGACCACTCGGGTTGACTAAGCTNTCATGGCATATCGAAAGGTACAAGGCCTCACTTCCGGTTGAGGTGCTTCGCTCTTAATATTTCAACAGTTTGGCTGTATTACCCTTTCTTACCTGTACGCTTATTTATCACCTATGAAGTCCAAACACTTCGACATCTGTGATGGTGAAATCACTGCTGCCTGTAAAAAACTCCTTCTGTTGTCCTGGAGGGCACTGATAGGCTCTGCCAAGAGTACTGCCACCCTGTCGTCCATTTTGTCTTAATACCCATAGGTCGTGCCCTTGACCAAACACTGGTCCACAGTCATAATAACTAGTGATCGCAAACTGTTCCATCCCATTAAGTAGCGACATTTTGGTCGGTCCCAGACCACTCGGGTTGACTAAGCTGAACAGAAAGGCTCGGCAGCATGGCAGGTATCTAGCCCATCTGGTGTACATGTACTCGGTCGGTGCTGTTAATAAAAAATATATCTTTGACTTATGGGCAGTCGTAGAATACGAAACCATTAAAGCGTATAAATTTGTATGCTGCAAATCCGCTCTAATATACTGAATATACGATCAAAAGCAGTATTATCAGTCTTACCTGCCCAAGCGCTCTCAGTGAAGCCTCCAAAAATGTTTCCATCACTATTCACAACAGTGACTGTAGGTCCTTTGTTGTCGCATCTCGAATGAAACGCTGAAGCAGTGAAACCATCTCTAGAAGCTCGGAACAGCAAACGCCATTCGCCTGCAAGAATAAACTCCATAGGTATCCAGCGTATCAAGACATTTCGAAAATCTCTGTCGGTCAAAATCACGGATTTCTCAAACACTTTCAATGCTCTTGCAACCTTCAGCTCATCCAGTAACCCTTGCACTTGGTAAAACCTGGCTTCTACTTCAAGTCCCTCGAGAAATTTTGCCCCCTCTGGCAAGATTAGTTCTCCGTTACGAAGATAATTTAATATAAAGCGGAAGTAAGTTCCATCTCGGTCGATAAAGAAGGAACCGTCTTCAGTAGTCTCTACCTCATGCCTGCCTGAAAACATGGCTGCGAGCATCGAGTTGGGATCTCTTGTTAGCGTTTGCAGGCTTGTGGTAAAGTGACTACCTCCGACATTTAGTTTCACAATCGAAGGAATACCGCTCCCGAGATTCTGCGACATCATGGATTCGAAGGTTCCTGGCTGCGTGTAATTTGTACTTTCTTCTCAGGATCTGTTTGATGTTTAACTACTTGAATTGTTTAGGATTTTTCTTCTAAATAATGGGTTCTGTACATTGAAAATGAACAAAACTACTCCGCACAACGTGATCATTTGATTGTGAGACGCCACTTCCTTTTACGATTCCAAGGGACAAAGGGTTCCGCTGACTAATGCCCAGTCGTCTCTTATGAACTTATTCGCGGAGATCGAGATACACAAACCTTACGAAAGTCTTCAGTGCAGGCGTATTTTGGGCGGGCGAAAGCTGCTTTATTGTAACCACCATCTTTGTTATGACGGAGGAAGATTAGGGAGAGTAAAAACAGTAACCCTAACGGTAGGTGCTAGGGCAAAAGAAGGAAAGAGGGGAGGGGGAGGGGAGAAAAATACTCTTCTCTCTCCCCGCCCCCTACCCGACTCCTTTTGACTCGCCCCATTTTCTCCCCTCTTTTCAACATGCGCTTTCGCGAGAAAAACATTCGCACACACGAAGAAAACGACTGCACTGCAGGCTACTACAACGGCGGTGACAGCAACAGGAACGTCAATACGTTTAAGAGGTAGTCTAAGTGAAAACCGCCCACTCCACTTCGCGTGAAAAAAAATTTGCCTGAAACTCTGGCAAGTGATCGTGAAAGGCTTTATCGAGAATATGAGACTATGACTAAAATAGGTTTGCTATTTGATTCACAATAAGTTTTTGCCGCGCTGGTATTTTGTCTCGCCACGGCCAATTTGCACGTCTTGAAAATTTAAAATTAGGCAGTTTTTGCGGCGCTGTAAAATGTTCGATTTGCACCATCTTCCAATGAATTTTATATATCTATTTATAGGTAAGCCCCGGGGGGAGGTACTACCCTATAAAAGTGACGGGGGTGCTCGACGTACCTTTTAGGAGTTTAAATTTGTGGATTGGTACCGCTTAGGGTGCTAAAATCTAAAATGACTGATTAGGATAAAGATTTATGACAATACTTTCATTTTAATAGTAATAAAGATAACTTTCGAACACTTTCTTCTTAAAAAAAAAAAGGATTACAGTCAAACTAGGTGAAGCGTTCCCGTCGCTAACGAACTAATAAATTCATTTACGGAAAAATGATTTCGTTTGTTGATTCAATAATCCATTCATAAAATGAACAATCCAATATTCATATTTAGCCTCGATTCCATAATCGAATGTTGATTCGATTACTGTTTTTTGAAAAACCACACATTTTTTCTTCTTTTTTTCTAAGAGTCGAGTGCGGACGAGTTCTGAAGTTCAAACCCAAACAAACTGTTACATGTACGCCGTTTTGCTTCCAGTAATCAGTGCAACGGACTTGACCTCTTAGAAAACACGATAGTCAAACTAAGGTCAGTGTATGTGCCGTGATTGGTGGATTTCGATCCCTGGCCTTTGTCAGTTCTTTGCGTTTGCGGTCTGTCTCTTCCAGCTGTTATTTTGATTAAAGGCAATTAAAAACGCAACCGTAAACGGCAGGAAAAGGGAAGCGAATACGATTGAACTCAACAGACAAGAATAAAGAACAGGTAGATTTTGTTCATAAACCAAATCAACATTTAATTATTGAATCGAAGTCCAATTTGACTGTTGGATTATTCATTTTATGAATGGATTATTGAATCAACAAACGAAATCATTTTGCCATTAATGAATTCATTAGTTTGCTAGCGACGGGAACGCTTGACCTGGTTTGACTGTAAATTAACTGCAAAAACCGTGGACGAAGATCCTGCTAGTTCTAGAAAAGAGATCTAATCAGCCAAAATATAAAGAACCAAAAACGAGAAGTCCAAAGACTACTGTAAAGCTGATTCAGAACAACGCGTACTGTTTTTTCATAACAATATTTCCGCTGACCATACCAGCCTTCTTCAGGTTTACAGATGTTACTTAAAAGAAGAAAGTGTTTCTAAACTTATCTTTATTACTATTAAAATTTGTTGTTGTTGAATTGGTACCTCTTAGGGGTGAAAATGAATTTGTGACCAGGTGACACGCCCATAAAACAAGATTCTGGCAATACGGTGACCTCGTTATTACGGCCACTTTCATTTTTGGCCTCCCGGCGAAACGACCATACATTTTCTTGTAAAAAAACCGACCCGTTAATACGGCCAAAATTTTTTGGCCCATTGGTGACCGTATTAATGGGGTTCCACTGTAGTAGGTAATGGAAGGTATACGAAAATGTATAACGCCGAGTTGGTTATCCTTATACTTTAATATCCGCTGCATCTGGATTGTGATTTATCCATGAGATAGCGCTATTCAGAGTGTTTGAATAGCCAGGGCAAGGTGGTGCCTCCCCCGCATAAAGCGTTGTTGGCTACCCTCTCCCAGGCCACTAACTACGTTGTAAGCATCTGCTACATGTGTTCACCCTAGAAACTCAATACAAGCTTCTATTTTTGCCAAAATAAGCTTTATTCTTCGGTTAAACTTTGGCTTCGTCGAAACATCTATTGATTGACTAAATTCCATAAAACGGTCTTAAATTGGCCCTACCGTGTTCCAGGCGTTGCGTACGTTTCTGTTGTCACACTGTAATTTACACGTTCGGAAGGGAAAAGGAAAGGAATATGACAACTTCGATTGAAAATATATTTTTTACGAAAGCCGAGGAGGGTCTTCCGACTTCCGACTTCAGACTTCAGTCTTAAGACTTAATACTTCAAACTTCAGACTTCAGACTTGACAAAGTTCGAACTCCGGACTTCTGAATTCTGACCGTTGAGACTCAATGCTGCATGGTTAGACTTCTGACCTCCCACCTCCCACTTCTTGCTTCCCACTTCCCACTTCCCACTTCTGACTTTCGACTTTCGACTTCCGACTTCCGATTTCCGACTTCCGATTTCCGACTTCCGATTTCCAACTTCCCACTTCCCACTTCCAACTTCCCACTTCTAACTTTCGACTTCCCACTCGACTCCTCTGTCGGGCTCGATTGCCGCTCGATCCGCCACGCGGGTATTAATGCTCAAGGTCAAGGCTCAGTAGAAAGAACGGCTGTACCGGTCTAGCCACAAAACAGAACAACTAAAGTTGCTCTTGCATGACGAGCTTTGAAGCGCGAAAAAATTTTATGCAAATTAGCTGGCTGCACATTGAATGTGCAGCCAGTAATTTGCATAAGTAATTCAAAACCAAGGTCTGACAGCTCTAGGCTCTTGAGGTGTCGGCTGAATACCCTAGGACTTCCGTAAATTGCCCACAAATGAGTAACTCAAGCTACCATAAATTGAAATGAAAGTAACCGCAATATCCGATTAAAGCAAGGTTTAAATCTTTTTCTGCTCGGCTAACCCTCTTCCGAGGCACTTACTATTTTGGTAATAATGTAACGTCATAAACATTTTACATAGCGCCTTTTTCAGTCTCGGGCAGTAAATTATAGTATGAAGAGGAGGTAAACTCAAGAATTCAGTTTTGTG